GATCGATGTTTAGTTCAGATTTAGTTGTAAAGCTTCTGCAGCTTCTAAAGATTTTGAATAAGTGATGAGAATCGAAGAAATGGAAGCCACAAAACGCATTCCGCCTCACCTCCAGCTTACTGTGCCAGTGCCAATTAAAATTGGAAAGGTAGGCTACGTTTAGACTTTTGGAAATACCAACCATGACAGCTGTGGTAACAAATTACTGAATCATTTTCAAAATATTTTTTGTATTCGGTATGGCATTGAGGGAGTGGTTCCTTGTTTGTTATCATGATCACGATTTGTGCAGCTTGGGCACAAACACATCCACTATAACAGATCTTTTATGATTTTTCATCCATAAGTAACTCCTTAACTTGGTAATTATGAGTTCACATCTTGTTTAGTGATACACAAAAACAATTAAAACATTTGAGAACAACAACACCCTTTCTTCTCAATGATAACTTTGGTCCAACTGTGCTGACAGATTACTGAAAACTTCAAAACTCTTTTGTGTTCACATGTGTAGATGTGACGTACAAAGACATCTGAAGTAGTTCCTTATTTGTGACATTTTGACAGTGGGCAGATTGGGCAATGAAATATCTAATATAATTTACCTTGAATCAATCCTCCGTGAATCACTTTGTTATGACTACATCTTAATTAGCCTTGGGTTCAAGTATACTGAGCCATGAAGCAGGCTTAGTAATCACTTATGCAGGGTTATATTAGGTTATGTTAGGGTTAGGATATTGATTTAAGTACCGTAGTGACTAAATCTGAATCATTCTTAATAAACTCTTTGTTATATTATGAATTAAGTCTTTGTTCATGATTTATTAAAGTGTAGTTATTGTAAAGCGTTAGCAGTAACTCTTGTAATCGTACTCACCGGCTCACGTCTTGTTTAGTTGGTTTTGTGTATCTCTAAACAAATAATACATGGCATAGGTAGGGCTGCTTTTTAACATTTGACAATTATTTGACTATTTCCTGTCAATGATAACTTTAATCCACATTTTACTGCCAGATTACCGAACTATTTAATTGTCTTGCATTTTCACATGGGTGTAGCATTTTTATTTGGGCATTTGCATTAGATGGGCACCGGCGTCATATAACAGGTTAATTTAACAATAGAGGGTGGGGGGAGCCTCATGCTGGCACGCAATGTGTATGCTTAATAGGGCGTGTTCGGAGCAGGTTATTCAACTGGATGTACCAGTGGTTGTGCAAAACCCTCGGGCCCGCTCAGTCAAGGGCTGTTGGATGGCCAGGGGGCTGCCGGTTGCTATGGGAGGGACGTGGAGGGGGGCGCAGAGGAGGGAGTTGTTTGTGGAAAATCAGGTGTGTGACTGGAGCAGGTAGAATAGTGTAGGCAGCGAGAGGTGAGCCGAGTGCACAGGGAGTAGCTGTCACGATCTTAAAATTGAAATTTCGATACTGAGGAATAGACTCGATACTCAATACCGATAATGGTAAAAAACACACACTCATTTAGACAATTGAATGTAATTTTTATCTTTAAATTGTAGTCTTATATCTGTGTAATCCCTCAGTTGACCAGGTAGGTTCCATAGCAGTCCACAGCCGTATACTAGTTTATGTGGTCTTATACTTGTTTTGATTAGGGATGTAACAATAACTGAAATATTGAGATATCGTATTGTTAAAAGTCTCACAATAATATCGTGGGCCATCATAATATATCGAGTTTCTTTGCTTAAATGTATTGTTATGGTGCAGCAACAGCTAAAAAACAGACAGAACTACATAGACCAGACATGTCAGACAAATTTGGCCCGCGTTTTAATTATATTTGGCCCGGGAGATCATACCAAATAAGTATTAGAACTGGCCCTTTGGCTATAGAAACATTAGTTATTAAAAGTTTTGTTATTATTTTATATTATACTTTTCTGAGTTCAATGTGTAAGCAAAACTATCATTAAACATTTATTTTAATAAAAAAAAAAGGTTTAATATTACATATCTCAAAAGAAGAGAAAACATGCAGATGTTGTTGAAAATTTTCAATAAATATTTAGTTTGGGCCATGACTTAGGGCCAAAATTAAAAACTGGGTCTTTGTGAATTTGAGTTTGACACCCCTGACATAGACTATGATCCTTTTCTCTGTTTTAGTCCAATCTACATGATAAAACAACTGTTATTATGCGTTTTTAAATCTTAGTTATTTGGATTATGGCAGAAAAGTAGCATATTCTGTCAGCTTCCGTACCGTGAGATGCATATCGTGCAAATATCGTATTGAGAGATGTAGATATCGTTACATCCCTAGTTTTGATACAGCTAATTCTAACTATTCTTGCTCAAATGAGTATCTCATTTCAACAATAGTTTTGATTTGTGTCTAATTTTTGATACTTCTGACAGCCATAATAGCAAGTCCAGTCCAGTCCAAAAACAAAGTTGTTGGGTTGAGTTGCAGTATTAATTGCAACTGAATCAAAACTGCAAAGACTGTAATGTTTAAAGTGCCATAATTTACTCCACAAAAAACAAATTTCTGCATTTATATCTGTACAAAAATGTGAACTTTAAACAGAATCCTATTAACAAAACGTAAATCGCAACTCTAATCACAACGCTTGTCAGAAGAATTGCAATTTGATATCTCAAATCGTCCAGGCTTATCGTCGCCCGTTTACAGTTCATTGTTTCATCATGCCATAAAAAGGGTTCCCTAATAGCAGTAATTAGCATCTTGATATAGATTTGACTTCCCTAGTTCTGAAACAATGGCATGAATCATAAAACGTTGTCAGTGTAATTGTTTTAAACAGTCTAAACTTAAAATCTAAACTGTAAACTCTAAATTTTGATAATTTAAGAGGTTTTTTGTTTGCAAATCTTAATCTCTCATGACAATATAAAGACTGACAAAAAGATCCAATGACAATGGGCATAGATTCCCAGTGCTCTTATCTGTCCCTGTCCACACTAAAATCAGCTCATTAACACGAACATGATAATAATATAAAATCTAACATATCAAATGATTCGCTGCTTGTTTGTAGAAAGCGTTGGCGTGGTCTTGAACTGTCAGAGCTAGACCACACGGAAATACTGAAGGAAATACAGATTCTGCAATGTGATGGGGGGCAAGAGACACATTTTCCTTTTGATAATGTTGTACTTTGCCATGAAATATACCAAAGACTCATTAATGCCAGCATTTAACAATATTCATTTTAGCTGCCCCCCTCTGTATGGAACAATATTGGCCAAATGCTGACATCGACTGAAAACCAGCAATTATTTTTATCTTATCAATTATGTTCAAGCTTTTTGTCATAGCAACACATATCTTGATTACATCCATGGGTAATAATCAACATATATAAAGCAATCAAACAAACAAACAAGGCAGCGCTTTTTGATTTGTGTATTAAAAGCCAACTCTAATTAAATAAGGAGCTCCTATAGAACAATTTATTATTAGCTTTGTTTGTTTGGAATCACAATTGCTGGGTCTTATTTCCAGTCAGTCTCGCTAAGAAAAGAAAGGTTACTGTCATTGACGGTTTTATGAGACAAGTCTGTTATCATTCTCCTTCATAAAGGGAGCAGTCTTATATGACGTCTTCTTGGCAAGAAATAGAAATCTTATCTGGATTCTTTTATCTTCCTCATTCTTTCTCCCTTCTCTCCTCCTCTCTTTACTCTTCTGCAACGTCTCGTGTCTTCCGCAAAAGCTTTCTCCCTCCAGTGTCTCTCCTCCATTAGAGTCTCTGCACAGTATTTTAAATCAGACGGCTAAAAGGATTCCCCAGGACTCAACCCACTGCCCTGAACTTACAACACACACACTGTACGTTGCATAATCCTCCGGTCTCATGGCCAGGTTTTATTTGTCTTGTCTGTATCTCGAATGTAAAACAGCTTTGGTAGAAGAGGCTCACTGGAAGATAATTCAAGCTCTTCAGTAGAACAGTTTGTATACAGTGATTCTCAAACTGTCAAATGTAGTGTTAATGAAACTGGGAAATCTATAAAACAATTTGGAGATATGCGAAATTAGATCGTCTATAATAAACACAATTTCAAAAGGCTCCAAAGAAATTAAATTGCAGCATTATTCAAATGTTTCAGCTTTTTATAGGCACCATTTTGAACACTGTCCACAATTCAAAAGAAAAAATATTTAGTTTTGAGTTGTCTTAATGTATTGCATTTTTGGATAACCCCCAAAAATATTAATACAAATTTTTCTCAATATTGTGCATCTCAAGTGGAAATTGTGATTCTTTTGAGGGTCTCTTTAGACTTGCACATTTTTACCCTAATTTACTCCACAAACAACTGATTTCTACATTTAGAGCTGTACAAAAATGTGATGTTTAAACAGAATCCTATTATCAAAACATAAATCGTAACTCTAATCACAACGCTTGTCAGAATAATTGCAATTTGATATTTTTCTCAAAATTTTCAGCCTTATTGTTGTCTCTTTACAATCAATGTAGCTTCATCACGCCATAAAATGCATTCCCTAAGAGTAGTAATTAGTAGGGATGTAACAATAACCGAAATATCGTGATATCGTATCGTCAAATTACTCACAATAATATCATTTATTATCCATCATTATCCATTGCAGTGTAGACTACAGGAAGAAATAACAGTTCTAAGCACTTTTAAGTCTTAGTTCTTTGAATTAAGTCAAGGCTTTTATTATTGTTATTGTTGTATGGTTGGATATTGTTCCTCCCCACAATATCGTGAGCTTTCCCATGATATCACAATAAATATCATATCGTAAGTACCATGAGACGTGGATATCGTTAGACCTCTAGTAATTAGTAGGCCTAGTTTGGTGTGTGGCATTTTTGGTATCATCTGGTTCACCCAGTTTAGTCATGATTTAGTCCAACTTTAGGTCTAGTTTAGTTTTCTTGTCTTGAAACTTTGTGGTAAAAGTTGGAGAACCTTCTTTGTTTCTATTTCCTAGAAAGTCAAAATCCACAATGTCGCCTTTTGTCCTGCAGGTGGCGATGTCTCCAGGAGAGGACGGCTTAATTGGGATACCCTTCCCGGAGCACAGCAATGAGCTCTTGTCCCACCTCAACAACCAGAGACGCACCGGACTGCTCTGCGACCTCACCCTGACCTCTCATGGGGCGCGTTACCCCACCCACCGCTCCGTCATGGCGGCCGTCAGTGTCTACTTTCGGCATTTGTTTGGGACAGAGGCGGGTGGAGGGGAGGGCGGGGGGTTCACTGTGTGTCAGTTGGACTGTGTTGCACCTGACGCCCTGGATGCCTTGTTGGAGTTTGCGTACACAGCCACCCTCACCATCCCCAGCTCTGGAATGAGAGATGTGCTGCGCGGGGCTCAGCTTTTGGGGATCCAGTGTGTAGCAGACGCCTGTAGGGACATTCTAGGAGAGACGGAGGAAACTGAAATGCCCCCAGAGGAGTATAAAGTCCAGCAAACTACTCCCAAGAAGACACTACAAAGTGAGTACGTAGAGAAGGTATCCAGAAGAAAAACAGACAAAAACAAAGTGAAGAAAATTGGCTCAAATCATACCTCTATTTTCACCCCTCCTTCGCCCGTGTCCCATCCATCCCCTGCGTCTGACAGCCTCCGCTCGCTCCCTTCTACTCAGCCTCCCAGCCCAGAAAAAGAAGAGTTTCACCAGAAGTTTGGCCTAAACGGTGACCACAGACCTGTCCAGGAACACGAGCCCGCAATGAATGGGGGGTTAGCTCACTGGTTTCAGGATCGCTCACACAGCCGCCCCTCCTCTGTCCCGCGCTCCATCGACAAGCTTTCTGAAGAAGACGACATAGAAGGCTTAGTGGAGGATGGGGTCTTGACGAAAAATACCCCTGTGCCCTTATCAGTCAGTCAGCGAGAGGCCATGGCAGCAGCAGCAGTGGCAGGAGTGGTCAGGAAGAGGAAGTCCCAGACACCTCAGCAGTGTCCCGTGTGCAACAAGATCATCCACGGAGCGGGAAAACTGCCCCGGCACATGCGCACGCACACAGGAGAGAAGCCTTTTCAGTGCACGGCCTGTGGGGTCCGCTTCACAAGGTACAGAAATTTACTTATTATACTTGAGCATTGGATTTATATATATTATGTTTGTTATAATATATTTGCTTATATATTATAATTGACTAAAATCTGACCAACACTAACACTAACCTGATATTCTAGTGCAGAGGTCAATTGTTTGTTTCATAAAGCCTTATTTGAAAACTTTAGAGATAACAACACAAAATGTGACAAAACACCACGCTTAAAGGTTTGCGGTTAATTAAACATCATAATTTGGGAAAAATAATCAAGCTCTGCATTTTCCGCACTATAGGGCGCACTCTTAAGCCTCCATCAAAAAACGACTGCGCACCCCGCAATCCAGAGCGCCCTATACACGAATCCACTCAGGTGTCCCAGTACGACTTCAGTAAATTACAAAGCCGCACCACCCGCAGCGCACGCAAACACGCACAGAGCAGACAGCGGCCGCGCAGCAAAAAACACCTGCAGCCACACTTATCACTCCACGTGGACGTGGAATGGAACAGAGGAACGAACTGAAAAGCGAGTGCAATGTGCCACTTCTAGACACAATTGAACAACTGAGTCACTGCGAACAAGCAGAACAATCCAGCGGTCCCAGACAGCACCCTCCCTATGCGGCACAATTGAACCAACCCGAGAGTCACTGTAAACGTGCCAAACAAAGTTCGGCTGACCCATCTAACTGTTGTGTTTCATTTTAAGTCCGGTGCAGTTTATTTGTGAAAAAAGTTTGAAAATAGACCATTCTATGACAGTGCACCTTATAATCCAGAGCACCCGATAGTGCGGAAAATACGGTACTGTTGGGACGATTTTGACAGCCATTGGTCACTCTGGATTCTAAATCAGAATTGGTTGTGAAAAAAAAACAAAAAAACATATCAGTTGATCTCTGCTTTGAATCAATAGTCTCATTTATCAAAATATTTCTGCAGTGCATTATTGCGACAGGCCTGTATTGTCTTCTCACATTTTCTGCTTGGTTTGTAGAAATGACAAGCTGAAGATCCACATGAGGAAGCACACAGGAGAGCGGCCGTACCCTTGCCCACACTGCTCCGCCCGCTTCCTGCACTCGTATGACCTGAAGAACCACCTGTCTCTGCACAGCGGGGCCCGGCCTTTCGAGTGCCCACTCTGCCACAAAGCCTTTGCCCGAGAAGACCACCTGCAGCGACACAGAAAGGGCCACAGCTGTCTGGAGGTACGCACACGGCGCCCCCGACGCGGCCCCGATCCTGTAGATGACCCCAACCAGGATGGGAAAGAGTCCATCTCTGTCCAGTCTATGCAGGGACACTCTTCGGGATTCCTAGCACTTCGAGAGAGCGTGAAAAGTGAGAATAGCTCGGCTGCTGGTCCTCCTTCACTCCAAATGTTCCACGAGGACAGTGAAAGAGAAAGAGAGCGTACAATGGCGCTGCAGGCTCTGGCTCAGCTTGCACCCCTCCGGCTCGCAACCCACCCCGCCCTGTTCCTCCGCAGTCTGGAGCTCCACAGCAGACAGGCCGAGGAGTCAGGGAGGGCCCACGCTATAGCCTCACACCGGGGGGTCTGGGGGGACCACCTGGATGAAGATGTAGCAGATGAAGACGCCGAGGAAGAATGAAGTGTGCGTGTGCGCATTTGTGGTAAAATATCCACGCTAAAAAAATCTCACTCAGGTGGTTGGACTTGTAACGTGCTGCTTCTAAAAGTCATGCTTTAAAAAGATGTAAAAAGAGAAATATGGAAAACGGGTTTATTGTCGATTTTAAATGTTTGTCTTCTGGCTTTTTCTTTCCTATCCTGTTTGTCGGTTTATTTTATGTATATTGAGTTTATTTTTAAAGTACGTGAGTGAAGAATGTATATTTACTGGGATCATTTTTACTATGCAATATAATCAGTTGAGTTTCATTATAGGAGAATATCATTTATGGTACAGATGTAGTTATGCAACCTTGATTCAGGTGCGTTTTCACACCACTACCATCCTCTGGTGCTGACAAGTGGAAATGCAGTTAAATTAATGAAACTTACATCGTTAGCAATAAAGTCCTTTTTGTCTTTCTGGTTGGAGACAAAGATCTTGATTTGGTGTTGAACCAAAGATTTAAGTTTAACTTCTCAAGTCTCTAAAGCAACAGAAGAGGAGAAGTAGTAGCCAAAGTTGGGTCATTCCAGCTGTGAAAGCCATGTGAGAAAGAATTAGCTTCCATTTTATGTTTCAGGGCCAAAGGCTCTGTCGAATGCCTGACCGAAAATGACAAAGTCTAGGTCAACAAAATGAAGAGAAATTGTAGCGCTCTCCTCCTTTTGTGATCAACCAGTCCCTTTTACTGTATTTATTTTTTATTTATTGTTATTTATTGCTTTAGTTCTGGTCTAATCCTGGGCAGGACACAGTGAACACATCACTGCCTTGGCTGGCCTTTGTTAAAACTTATCACCAACATTTTGCCCCTTTTTAATTTTGGTACCAAATTACAATTCTTTCTCCAAATGCATTCTTTGCACATTAAGTTCAGCTTTAGCACATTCCACTCAGCAGGTAACGCTGTCCTCCTGCTTTCCTCTTATTGCATCTGTTGTACTGTATCATATTTATTAAGGGGCCATTGCTGATGTCTCTCCTTAATGACCAAAAAACTAGGGCTGTAGTCGACTAAAGAAATTCATAGTCGATTAAAGACGTGTCCTTTTAGTTGACTAAAAGGGGGAGTGGCAAAAACTCTCAAAACAGCAATGCATCTCTATGTATCTGACTCAAATACTGCAATCACACCTGCACGGGAGGTCACGCAAAAACAACTATTTATACAAAAAAAAAAAAAGTACTAGGCAAAAATGCACTTACATGAAGACAGATTAAACTTGTGAATCATGAGTTTAATCTGATTTATTACATACAAATCTTCGGGTTAATTCACTCACTAACTTGTCCTATCTGCTGTTGTACCATAGAAATACTTATAATCTAAATAAAATGATTAATCGACTACTCAGAATTTTGCTTGACTAAGACTCCATCAAATGATTAATCGACTAAACGACCAAAGGACTACAGCCAAAACAAAAACATCACTTCATATTATCATTACATTATTACATATTAATTATTACATTGTTATGCAATAGCTTGGGAAGATTGTAACCTTTTTCTCTCCTTGTCCTTGTGTATAACAGGTTTAGTCTTGTCTTGCTTTGTTCACCTTCTGCTTATTTGCACTATGAGATTGGAGCTTTCTGCCTTTCATAGTATATTTTATTAACTTGGTACCATTTAAGACTGTGAGTTTAAAGAGAACTTAATATAAAACGCTGTCCACATTTTAGTACAGAGAGAAAAAAAACTATGTATATTCCAATACAAATGCCTTAGATTTTTTGTTGTGCTGTAACTATACTCAGGAAACCTTGAGCATTGCACTAAAAGAGTAAAGTAGAAGAAATTGTTGGTGCTGTCGGACAATAGACACTTTGTGCACAAATAAGGCTGAGAGAAAACTGATGTTTAACATAAAGTAAAAGAGAAGCAAGTGGGGCTTGACAATAAATTAATTTGATTTACTAGTCACCAGGGTTACTTTTCTAACTATCCCCAGTTTCATTAGCTGTAGCTGCGATGCTTTGGTGTATAATTTGTAATACACGTTTGTTGTATGCTACAGAGTAATGTTAAAGGTGCACTATGGAACTTTCCTGGTGGGGGATCTGGCACCTGCTTGTCTCCATGGAGATATTATTTCTTTGCCTCGAAGGTTTACAGCAAGGGTGTCCAAACTCTAGCCCCGGGGTCAAACCAATTTTTATTAAACTTCAGGCCTCCTGCTGAATTGGCATAAATGATCATAGGCAGCACATTTTTACTGCAAATTCAAGTATTTTTTTTATCACTGTAACCTCTGTACCACTGGAACATTGTATTTCATTGTAATACAGACCTAAATGAGGCCTGGAATTAGTGTTAAAGGTGTGGCTCTGTAAAATGCAGCTATGCGAAACTCTTTCTGTATTGATCACCAGTCCACTGTCCTCTATAAAAAAGTGTTTCTATATCCAGCCTTCTATGAAAAAAGTTTGGACACCCCTGATTTACATTTACAGTATGAAATTTAGCTTGTCTGTTTTCATGGAGATAAGCTGGTCAGGTCAGATCTCCAAAATGCAACTTTAAACCATGGATAGGGATCAAATCTAACTAAAAATATGGCTTAAATTATCATAGAAATTAAGTCAAACATGAAATTGAACTGACCAAAAAGCGCTTAATAGTGGGACCAAATGTTGCTTAAATCTTCCACCTTTTGGCTTGTTGGATTGTGTTATTGTCGAGCCCTGTTAGTGCGGATACTGGCCTTATGGAACCTGTCTTACTGGTATGGCAGTAGTGGGTCCTCTGCATGAATGCTTTGTTATGAATGAGACGGTAACTAAAGGTGATGCCAGCTGTGAAGTGCGTGTCTTTCTATGTGAACTGTTCTTTTCTTGGCTTTGGTGAAGGGACAGGAGTCGGCTCTGCATAGACTCCACTATCAGGGATGCTATTTTTGTTTTTTAGTCTTTAGTGGGCCTTCTCAGAGATGTCAAGTTCACATCATTTGTTTCAATAATTGTAAAGAAAATAAAGATATGTAAGCGTACTCTGTCATGTCTTTATTGAAATTATTTATAGCAGTCACAAAATAAAAGTGGATTTGACCATTATTGAGCATTAATGAGGTTATTTTATTGTTGACTGAGTGATCGTGTCTCTGTGAACAATTAGAATTACTCAAGTTTTAAACAATGAAAAACATAATTGAAGCAGCAATAAAAGGATCCATAAGTCGCCTATTTGGACATTAAATGTAGCCCATTTCCTTTTCAAGATTCAATTAAACTAGCAATATTGGAATAAAATAGTCTGGCGAACTGAATATTGCAGGCCTACATGCAAATCGTGACAAGGCGACCCAAAAAAAAAAAAGGTTTATAGCATCATATTTTACTAAAACACCAATACGAAAATTTCAGGAATGTTTACGAATAGTTATTGTTGTTTAAATAGTTTATATTTTTTCCACAGCCTGAAGTATGTTGTTCGTATTGATTAATAAAGGTATAGTCTATGCTTATGTTATAGAAATAAAGAAATGTTTTGCCTATTTAATTTCCATTTAATTTCTAGAATGGTCATTTAAGGGCAATGTTTTCCAACCGGAGATATGGGGCCCCCTGGTGGTAGTTACAATTATTTCAGATTTAAAAGGTGAAATTGCCTTGCAGTTTTGTGAATGTTTTTTGCTGTACATTTTACATGATTAATAATATCTCTGTAGGATAATTTTTGCATAAATATTAGTCAAACTATAAAATAGAAAAGTTATAAATGGTAATACTAGAAAACACAATATAAGGGGTACTTAATAAGAATCTGAAACAACACATGAGGGCGTCCTTTAACAATGGACGCTTGCTGTACAGTTATCCTTAGAATACTGACACCTACCTTTGTAAGTGGACTAAAAGAGAGCACCTGGGATAAGTGGAGAGGTGGAGATGTGGAGGGGATCTTGGCTTCACTCTGATCTGTCGCATCACCTCATGGCCACAGGTGGGTCTCCCTGCGCAAACTCCGGAAAAAAAAAGTTCCTCACAAAACACCGGCCTAGGCTACATCTATTAACTTAACATGTGTCAGTGAGTAGTTATTGCAGTTCTTTTGCCTAGAGGATGTAAACTTATGTATAACATTTGGTGAAATGAAGAGACAGTGTGTAACATGTCAGTGCATAGAGTCAAGTCATATTTATCTCAGTGCATTATAAATCCTAGTGTCTCCAACCTTGAAATTGAAAATTACTTCTGCATGGAACAGTCTTGATTTAAACCTGTCCATATCTATTTATTACAATCTTCATACAGTAAAGTAAAGCAGGATAAATACAGACAGACAAAAAGGCACATTTCTTCTTGCACTATTGAGAGGGCAAGCACAACTGCGTGGAATATTCTCAAAAAATGTAATAATTTTAACTGCACTGATTGTATAAAGTGAATTGTAGTTTTGCATCTGTTATAAATTCATTGAGGAACAACAAAGTTTACCCTTGGCCATGGATGTCTAGTTGTGCATATGATTGAAAGGTTTTCATTCAGCACTCTTCTCTCTCATTTAAATTTTATGATGAATATTTTTGTTTTGATTTGTTTGTGTTTTTAATGTATTTCTTATTCTGTAAAGCACTTTTAATTATTTGTGTACGAACTGTGCTGTACAAATAAACTTGCTTTGCACTTCTGTTACTAAAAACAGTGTGCATACTTTTACAGGCCATACTAAAAGTGCAAGATGTGCAAAAAAGACAATAAGTCAGACAATAGCATTATTTATGTGGTTAGTGTCTGTCCTAAAAAAAGGTATATATATATATATATATATATATACACACTTTCTAAGTGATTAAACAATTTTAGCAATTGACACTTAAATCATAAACATTTTTGTCACCACAAGCTTTTTTCCAGTCACACATCTTTTTACACAAGCTGATCCATTACCGCTATTAGAAAAAAAAACTGCATACACACATAAAATGACAATAAATTATGTTTAATTTATTTTAAAAAATTACATGAATAATCTTACTGCAAATTCATGTAGTCTCTAGTGAGTAGCAAATGGAGGTTTATCAATGACAAGGCAAAATCTAAGGGCTACACGTTTTCTAAATAAATCTTTTAGCTCGTGTCAGGCAACTTAACCTAGAAACATAGGTTGAAATATTCGTCATGTCAATTCATACAAGTTTGCAAAGTGTTCAAAATTAGCTTTTAACTAAACTAAATGGCCAGATACTAAAAGGATAGAGAACACTGATAGAATTGAGAGTTCGGGCAATGTTGGCTCAGATTACTTTGTACAAAAATAGCACAAATTACTATAAGGTGGGATATGGGTTGGGGGTCTTACGGAGCCATCCAAAAAGGCATAGCCGGTTGCTGTGTCTGTGTTTTAGGGCGCAGGGGAGGAGGGGGAGGACAGCGGAATCCCTGAGCCAGCCCGGGTGAGTTAGAGGTGGAAGGTGCTCCCCCAAATGTCCCGGGAACAGAGGTTTTGGAGTTAGAGTGGTCCTCCTCTTCATCAGATGAGTCACCTGTATATGCTACCAAACCTGTACGCATTCTTTTTACTGTCGGCTCTAGAAAAACAAAGACCAAAGAAGAGAGAAAGAGGGAGACACAAGGAAAGAAGCACAATACAATACCAAAACAATGCAAAAATAACATTAATGCACAACACACAGAGAAGGGAGAATCAAATTGTTAATAGTTTTAAAATTTGTAGTTAGCATGGAGGGGCCCAGTCAAAAGGCAGGTTGGTGGGACATCAAAAGGATGGCAGGACAAAGTCAGAGGATGGCGCCCCCCAATGGCAGCATCCCGAATCGCGCAGAGAAACATGAAAGAGAAGAGAACACAGAGAAAGAGAAAACACAAAAACAGGAGAAGTTTTTATTAGTCAGGAATTAAAACAAGATTAAAAGTGACATTTGAAAGGGAGACACATTGGAACACAAAATCTAGGCTAGGCTCTGTGCCCAGCCTTAACTTTAAGATATTTCCGGCTCCACAAGTTTGCTGAATGTCTCTCCCCACTCTTCACTCCCATTTGACGCAGCTCACTGTCCTGTCTAATAAACCTATGAGCCAAAAAAAAAAGTAAATCTTTTCAGCTGAGCTAAAATGGAGGCTGCGTTCACACTTGTCCTGGTGTCATCCAGGATTAGTCCTGATGTAGACTTTATTTGATCCCATTCTAGTCCAGTTTTAGTCCTGGTCTAGGGCAGGTTTAGTCCTGGGATTTGCCCCAGTTTAGTCCAATTTTGACGTAAAGTGAGTGCAAAAGTGTGAACGCAGCCAAAAACGTCCATCTCACTATCTGGAGTTTCTAGTCGTAGCAGCAGTAGAGTCCTGGAAGAATCATAAAAAATGTAAAAAACAGTTTGTGTCCTGGATTCACAAAAATGGAGAAGAAAAATGTAATAAGGGCCTTATAATAAATACCCATGGTAAAACTGTTTTGAGAGCACAGATTGAGAGCATCAACCTAGATCAGGAGCATCAGTTTAATAAACTGTTTTATGTACAACTTCAGAATGACACCTTACCCATTGGGCCTTGGGGTGCTGTTCGTTCCTCCATCCTGGGTCTAACCACATTCATAGGCAACAGCGGAGGAGGCATCAGCTGCCGACTGAAAGGATAAAGCAGAAAAAATAAGGAAACAAATCAACTTCTAGTTGTAAATTTTAAAAAATTAAATAAAGACCCAGCACTCATACCTGTCCCTCTCACTCGATGGGCCGGAGGAACTCGGAGGTGGGGGTCCTGGCGTCTCTGGGGTGCCCACTGAGAAGCCTGCACCTAAATTAGTCATATGAATGGGTCCATGCTATGAGCAGAAAAACACACAAGTGCCATTAGCAGACATCCTCAACTAAGCCCTGTCCTAGCAGTTAAACGTCATAGACCTGGACAATACAAGAGTGACAAAACTGACTAAACAGAAACTAAACACAGACATGCTTGAAAGGTCATTTAAAGGTGCTCTATGTAACTTTTCTAGTGTGGGTCTGTCACCAGCATGCCTCTTGGGAGACTGTATTGCCTTGAATGTTCCACAGTATGGCATTATTATTTTCTCACTGTGAGCTGGAGTTTGCATCCTTGTCTCCATGGGTAAATAGATATCACACTGTGGAAAACTCTGGGCAATGTAATAACATCATGGAAATAAATAGATGGTGGTGGACCCATGAGATGAGTTACATAGTGCAACTTAATACTTGGCATGTTTATCTAGACAATACAGGCTTTATCACACAAGGAATACACACAAGAACTGTTATTGTTGTTAGGGAGGTCTTCAGTCTGATATACCTTAAACCTGGTTAAAATTGTAATTATGAAAACAATAACTAAACCTCTGCCCTACAGAAAAGTACACAGCAATAACAAGAAGTATTAATACACTTGGCATGACCTGTGATCACAAATCTAGTCATTAGTATTGACTTGACAAACTCTATAGTATTAAATATACACCTGATATCCAAGGAGTCCACTGTCCCTCTCGTCCGGCACCTCTTCAGTGAAGCGCCGTTTCTGTGGTGGGTTGGCTGGGGCGGAGGAGGCCATGGGTTTGGGGGTCACTGGGGCTGTTGGTGGAAAAGTTACAGAGGGAAGAGTCTGCAAAGTAAAGGAAACAACATGTGATTGGACAATATGGATTTCAATATAAATTTTCTGAACATGAAAATTCAATTAAATGAAAGCCTAGGGCCTAATTTCTCATTAAGTGTAAATGTAAGCCCTCATAGAGCACCCTGCCCTCCATTTAGAAGTAAAAAATTTGTCAAAATGTAACAACCTGCTGGCCTCCATTTATATATGAAAACCCACAAGATAATTATTAAATACAAAGTACTGTATTTGGTAAGAGGTACAGTGAGTTGGTGCCGTGTCTCACCTGAGGTATAGTTCCTGGGGGTTGGAGGGGAGCAGAAACAGAGGTGGGCACTGGGATGTGAGCAGGAGCAGTGGGGTATGGGGGGGTTACAGCTGGAGCGGGGTTGATGTGAGGGGGCACTGTGTATAGGGGGGGCACAGGCTGAGGCTGGGGTTGGGGCTGGGGGGCAGGTGCAGGGGCCGCTACAGGGACAGGGTAGCCTGGAGGATACCCGGCAGGAGGGTAGTAAGGAGGCTGTGGAGGAATCCCATTCACTATTGACGGAGGGGTGAAACCTGTTGGACAAGATACAGACAGAATAAGAAATGTTAAGTGTCAATCTGCGTAAAGGTACTTTATAAACGCCTCATATGAACGCTTATCATGAGCTACATTCCTTACCAAATTACTGTGTCTTGGAAAAGACTAGAACAAGATTTTTTGTATCATTTAAGCTGAAATAACTGCTTTATTACACTACTGGTCAAAAGTTTTAGAACACCCTAATTTTTCCAGTTATTTATTGCAATTCAAGTCGGGCAAGTCCAATGAATAGTTTGAAATGGTAAAAAGGTAAGTACAGAACAGCCAGAGGTAAAAAAAAAAAAAAAAAAGATAAAAGATAACAAAACACAAGTCCAAGCTCTGCCAAAACTACCAGGAAAAAAGAACAAGATGGTAAAGCTTGAAAACATGAAGTGTCCAGCACAGTCTCCAGACTTAAACCCCATTGAGCTGGTTTTGGGATGAACTGGACAGAAGAGTGAAAGCCAAGAAACCTACAAGTGCCACACATTTATGGGAACTTCTGCAACAGCCTTGGGAAGAACTTTCTGAAGAATATTTGATTTCTATTGTAAAAAGAATAAGCCACGAGTGTGTTCAGCTTTTATATGTGCCAAAGGTGGACACTTTCATGAATCAAAAGTTTAGAGTATGTTTTGGTCAACAGTAAACAATAAAAAACTGGAAAAAGTGTGGTGTTCTAAAACTTTTGACCAGTAGTGTATAATAAGGCTAAAAGTGACCATATGCAATTTTTAGGTGTTATTAATGAGTGTACAATAGCTGCAATGGGCCAGCTTTGAGAGAGCATTCACACTTGCAAAGACACCACAACAAAATTAGGACTAAAGTGTGACTAAACCTGGAATTAAGCCAGGAGTAGAAGAGGACTAAACAAAGTCTACATCAGGAGTAAACTGGGCTCAAACTGGAACCAAAACAGCACAAGTGGGTGTAGTAAGTGTGAAAAACAGTAGTTCGCCTACCTTGGGCTGGCATCATGGTGTTCATTTGGCTAAGAAAGCGGGAATATTCTGCATGAACCTAGAAAAAAAAACAATATGCGAAATACGTCTAATCAAAGTTATAAGCAAAAATGTGGCAAGTTTAGTAAGGTGTTGTTATTGACTGTTGTGTAATAATTTCTTATGTTTATATTACATAAACATCACAGAAATCTATTACTTACTGTCTGGAGTAGATTCTCACAAAGAGTTTTGGCTGCTGCAAGTCCCTCAGGTTTAGAATGACTAAAGAAAAGCAAAGAAACATCAATGCTGCGAAATTATGTGAAAGGACAACTAAATCAATTCAACTTTATTAGGACCAAATGCTTTGATTTTGGCGAGTTCCTTTGAACACAGAAATCTTATTATAAAAGGATCAATATATGAGTCAAGTAGATGCATTAAAAAAGCAGCAGAAAAAAAAGGTGGTGGGCAATCTGTTGCCAAAATAAGATTTAGCAACAATTGAGGTATAAAAATTGTAAAATTCACCATGTTTATGCCAATTCTCAGTTCTGATCAAATTAACAAGATGAAAAATATAATAAAACAAACATATTTGTAACATTGACTGGCTCATTACATCTTACTGATTTACTCTTGTGTCTCGTCGCACCATTGTAGATGTTATAAAATATTCAGCGAGTAATGGTAGCACCAACAAATAATCTGTAAAAGAAAATGTCCTGAATAATGCTGACTAACCTGATATAGATGTACATGGGTTCAAACGCCTCTCGTCCGGATGCAGGCTCTAAACACCCTGAGCCTTTTCCTCTGAGAAAAACTTTAGCTCCAGTTTCAGCCTGAATGTGCTGCAGGTACGAGCAGCCAGGACCCTCCACACGCTCTTTAACCACAAACCCCGGGATGGCCTGATCCAGACCCACAAATAACTTATCCTGAACAAAATGCAGCTGGAAAGAGAAAAGATGTAATGCACATTATTGGTTACTTAAAGCCTGAAGCCTGATGGAGTGTGTCCATCACAGCTAATTGGGGCTGCACAAAACATAAGGTTCTCATCATTTTCTTATTAAGTCTTAATGTGGTCTTGGTTTAATCTTACTGTTAATTTTTTATTTTTACTTTGACAAAGTAGTACTTTAACTAGTGATTTAAATTTACACTATGCAACTTTTCAAGTAGAAGTTTTGCTTGTCTCCATGGAGATTTACATTACCTGGAATGTTTCACAGTATAACACCATCTACGTGAAGACAAGCAAGTGACCCCACCAGGCTGAAGTTCCTACTCTTTTTTCACTGACAAAATTTCAATACTTTTCCATGACTTTTTCATGACCTAAAGTGAATTTTCCATGACTTTACGGCACCTACATGTGTAAAATGGATCATACTTTTTGGGCTAAATATGAAATATTAACCCTTTCCACTCACCTTATGGTTTTGTATTACAGTGTTTTAACATTTAAAAATACTGTTAAAGCATTTATTGTCTCTTTTAAACAAAAGGTGCACACGTTTGGAAATAATCATAACAGCCTAATGATAATTTAACAGAATGCTGTAGTTGTGTGAAACAGATACTAAAATTCCATGACTTTTCCAAAACATTTTTGGAATTGAATTAAAAAATTTCCATGACTGTGGGAACCCGGATGTCAAATCTATGGAGATGTGACTTCGCTCACATTAGAATGCAGGTTTTTAAAGCATTTTCAAGCCATAACTTCACCCATAGTTAAATAAATGCATGTTAGATAAGTTAAATGGAACATTCCAGATACAGCAATTACATCTCCATAGTGGCGGATCCCCTATTGCATCATTTTCATATTGTGCAGCCCTCTGGTTATAACTGAATGTAACCATGATCTCCCTTACTCCAGTCTGTGGGTTTGGCTTGTGATGAGTGATGGGGGCCATAGAGGGAGGACTGGGCTGGTGGTACACTGTGACTGTGGCTCCACTTTGAGAAAAAGACGGAGCTGATGGAGCAGTGGCAGCTTTAACCACACCATTTGTGATAATCTCTTTGATTCTGTTCACAGCCCCTGAAAGAAATGAAGAAGATGTCGTCCATTATGATGATTTTAATAGGTTAAGTTCACATTAAATAATAAAAGTCTAAAATGGTTTATAACTGAGTTGGAGGACAGGTCAGAATTCTGTGGTTTAACTTTGAGATTGCAGATTTTTTGTACTGGTTTAAGGTTAATATCTGTAAATGCAGGACCTACTCACTTGAAATAAAAACTGGCACATAGTTCAACGTCTTAAGTGTCACCATAAATCAAGAAAAGTTAAACAGATTTGTCATATTAGCTATAGCAAGTGGAGCCCAAAAAACTCCAAACGCATGATTAGTGTCAGTTGAAAGGACTTAAAGCCATAAGATTAACGTAACAATTTTGTAGAGCCAATCCTTAACAAATAAGGTTCAACATTTGTCTCTCATAAGCTTTTTGCAAATACAGTAAATCTTCCGTATGAAATCATGACATAATTTTTGAAGTTAGTTAATCATATTTATAAATAATTACTCACGGTCTACTAGCTCTCGCGTCTGAGCTTGAACATGTAGATACAGAGGTCGGTCTCTGGTGGGGAAAACAATTTTGTAAGTAAACGTATTTTATTGTCTTACTAATAACAAAACCTTGTAATTACCCTGGAAGCCCTTTTGATTTCTCTTCAGTCGTCATATACCGCCCCCGAGTTGAAACTGCAGCACCACTGACTTTACTAATCTTGAAAGCAAATTAAAAGAGATATTTTTAAGAATAAATTTGCATAAAAGTCCAACTAAATATTCACAAACACACAAACCTCGTCTTGTGTTTGTCCACGAGTCAGCAGATTTCTACAGGTGATTGGCACATCATTAATCTCCACTTCGGCAACAACCAGGTCATCTTTGGCTTTGGAAAGCAACGGAGGTTTTGCAACACCCAGAATCTAACAGAAACATGTACTATATGTTAGATATAATTGTCCATAGAGAATAGTATTAACTATTGAGTACAATACAGTTCCTTATTAATAGAACAGATTATAGTGCCCCCCGCTCAATATTCTGAGGGTCTTTGTTGGGTCCTGGTTTGAAAACAGTTTAGTCCAGATCATGTAGACTTGGGTGTAGTGTTTAGCGCTGATCTAGTCCAGGATAAGTTCAAAGTGAATTTAGTTCCAGTTTAGTTTCTTTTTTTAAATTTTGGTTTATGAGTAAGTGTGAACAAATAAACTAAATATTTTATCTTTTGAAGGCATCAAATAGCTGAAGAATATGAACAACCCATTACTATTTGACTATTTTACTATCTGAGCTATAACTATCTATCTAAGAAAATAACACTGTTGCTTATTGTATTGTCTTAAATATAAAAACTATGTGGTTGAAAAGAATTGCTTAGTAAAACTGTATTAAGTGAGTTTTATACTCCATGAAAGGGTACAAAGGAGTATAATTTATATAAAAATGTGTTATGCAACATTGCCACAGTAATAATATATATGAAACACTGACTATATTCTTACCTTATCGGGCGGTCCTGGAGTATTGATCTGTGAAGGCTTTAGCTTGCCCTTTGCCACCAGCATGGCGTTGATCTTTGCAGCCACAGCAGCAGCCGCATCCAGAGCTCCGGACGGGGCCGCCTCACTCTCCCCCGAACCCCCAGACCCACAACTCCCAGAACCAGGACCCCCAGAAACAGGCCCGGGCTGATCCCATTTACTCCGGCGGCTGTGGGGTGAACACAACAGGGGTTATCAACTTTCTGCACACAAGTTACGACAAGAGCAGGTGTTTATATTTAGAGGAGCATTATGTAACTTTTCTGGAGGGGGTTTCCCACCGTTTTTCTCAAGAGACTTTTATTTTTTGCTTAGCCTGGATTGCTCTACATTATGTTTTCCCATGGGGCCACATAAGAAACAGAAAATATTGTGGAGGGCCAGGCTAAAATGCTTAACTCAAACCTAATATTAATTGCATTTCTTTTATTTAAAAAAAACAACAACAAAAAACAATAAATAGCATTGTTTTGAAGCTGGTAAGACTGGTAAAAGTTTATGTTATGACTAAACAATGAAAAAGTGAGGTTATCTTACAAAAAATATAATTCAAAAAACACCTCTAAAATAAAAGCAATACAGCTTTAGTCAATGCATGAGATAAAATGATAAAATGAGCCAAATGAGCTTAAAGGGGCTGGTCAGAGTCAACCAAAGGGCCATATATGTCAATGCCCAGGTCTGATCTACTTTATGACTTTACACTTTCATTTATTCAATTACAGATGCATAATTTTAACATAATAAATGCAATAAAAATATGCATGGCTAATCTGATTTGTAACTTGGCTTGTTTGTGCCACGTTCTTGTCACCATGGAGACAGTGAAATTGCTTAATGCCTTACTGTGGAACATAATAGGCAAATGAATAACATCTCCTGAAAGTAAAGCAGGGGGCGGACCCAGCACCAGAAAAGTTACACAGTGTACCTGCAGACACACAGCTACATTACAACATGCACAACTTTTATTCGATGCTATATTGCAATTTTAGCAGATAAACGCGTGCATGTGGATATTAAACCACAAATTAACGCAAATGTTAGCTTTTTGCTAGCTAGCACGAGAAGAAATATGCTGCAGAGCAATAAAATACAACTTGAAAACCATAAAAAACACAACATTATTTCTCTGTGCACTCACCCGCTGTTTTGTGACCCAAATGACATCTTAAATATAAATCTCGTTGCAAAAAAACCCACAAATTGTTTAGGTCTTTGGCTGCAGCCCGTGATGCTTTGGACTGTTTTCTCCTCTCACAACACCATTTCCGTCTCCGGTGCAACTCCAGCAATTTTGCGCCAATTCCGCTAGAGTGCGCCAAATCTGCGGCGGATCAGTGGGGTTTCTTTTACCTGAGGTGGGATGGGACTGCACAAACTCACATGTACCGGACTTTTGTCACCTGTCTCCGTCTAAAGAGACACTTTGCGGGTCCATTTCACCCAAGGTAGGTACAAAACTGCGACTAATCTTTGTCAAACTCTCAAAACACGTGGTTAATTTGGGTTATATTCATGTTGTCTGCTTGTATGGTCGTTTTATTTTGTGAAATTATCCTGTGAAGCACTTTTGGAGTCACGATGCTAAGTAAGCAAAAAGGTAAAACTGCAAACTAACTTGGAACTGCTTGTTTAATTGAATGTATTGTTTCTGATTTAGAACACCAAAGTCATCTTAGCCTAAAACTGTCGTTGAATGAACTGTCCTTATAAAGAGGTAAGCAGTGAAATTGTGATGATTTTACTACAAAAATGTCACCAGATTATTCACAGAAGTTAAACTCAGTGCAGCAGGTTTTTTATTGATATTGCTTGGTTTCAGATTGCATCACATCAACAACAGATGAACAACCTTTAATACAGATTAGGGCAACTAAAGTGTGATTTTCTATTAAATATGGTGAATTCTTGGATCTACTCACTCTTATAAATGATCAGGTTCAACATTTGTGAATCTACCTTAAGGATATTTTGTCACATGTCAGACTCTCAGATGCAAAGGCAAATGCAAAGGGGTTCTTTCTCCTACAATCTGGGAGTATGGCATCATCATAGTCTACAATCTTAAAACCACCACTTAAGTCCATTCAGAGGGTCCAGAGCTCTGGAGCAGAGTCGAGGTGTATTGTTGAGATGCAGGTGTTTAGTTACTGACCACCACCATCACAGACATGTTGCACTGGTGCAGGTTACAGGTGAAGGAAGGTGAGAACACACACCCCAGACTCAACCAGAGACCCGAGCTAAATAACTTATGTTTGTCTTTCAGGGGAAGAACGTCTTAAGTCCTGCACTTGGGTCCAATTATTGATTATGTAAGAGAATACACACAAATACGCAAACACTTAAAAGAATGTATAGGTCTTAATGGGCACCTTTCTTGCACCAAAATAAAAAAATAGTTTGTAAAGTTTCATTATTGTTTTGAAGTAACAACACTTTTACTTTTACAAAATTGTCTTTGGCTTAGTTATTGATACTCATTATAGTTTGAATATAGCAGAATTTGCATATTTTATTCAGTCAGTCTTATTAGGGTTAGTACTGTATTATGTTACAACTAGGGCTGTCACAACAACACATTTTGAACTATGACATATTTCTGAGGTAAATATAGATGATAAACAATAATAATTAATAATTTAAACGAATTAATAAAGCAGAATTATCCCCAAAAATGTATTCTAAATGAACAATATTGTTAAAAAAACATCATTTCCAAAAAAAAATATTAGTAGAATTAAACACTAAAGTAATAATTAGTTTGTGTCTATAATGAATCACATTTCAAAACTTCTTCAGGTCAAATCTTATTATACTGCAAAAAAAAGTCTCACTATTACAAAGAAAAAGTACCCATGATAAATACTGTCCCTCCCAAAAATAATTGTTCCTTCTATCATGTCTGGAACGATAAGTCAATATAGTAATTATCATGACAGCCCTAGATAGTGAAGTATTTTGGAATGACTATCTTTTCCTTCTTATTGATAAATATAAAGTATTGATAATAATAAAAACGTCATACAGTCTATTCTCTACCCACTGGCCACTGCTGAACATTTTTAATGCAGTCATTGTTACCACCATTGCATAGGTTGTTTCACCCTTGTCACCAGCAGATGGCGTGCTTGGCTTCACACAGTTTCTACTATACCTTTCCTTGACTTTCTTGTAGACTTCTTGTTAATTTTTAGAAAACAAAACAAAACAAAAAAACTTTGAAAATTTAAAAATACATTTAGCTTACAGTAAAATAAATCTGTGTATTTTTTCCTACTGAACTAGGCTTAAACTCAACAAGGCATATAATTCTGCCTTTGTGATGTCCAATATCTTGTATATTCTCAGGATCCAGAGGAGTGTCCGGAGGTCAGAGGTCACTGGTTCTGACGCCTGAGCTGACGGAGTTGTCTGTTCATGTGTGGAGTCGTGCGGCTGGCGAAGGAGAGAGAGCTGTGGTGAGACATGCTGTGTTTACCGTGTCTGTAGTCAGAGCCCAAGTGTGAACCGTAATGTGCGTGTTGGTTGATGTAACCCCCAGCCCTGAGGCCCTGCGGCGCTGTGCAGTGGCCCGGGCTGGCAGCTGACAGTGGGGTGAGAGCTCTGTGGAGGTGATGGACAGAAGAGCGCCCCCTATCTGAGCCTCCGCGGGCTGAACAAAGAGACACTGTGAGCCCAGAGCTTCACAGTGTGGCGTCAAACCAGCGATTACAAGCAGTTTAGACAGAGCTGTGTAGAGCACATGCGTGACTGCCGTAAATCTGAGCGGCTTGTGCTTTGTTTTATCAGAAAATGTTTTATTGCCATTGTCAGTGAACAAAATTTATAGGCTATGAATGTGCTTTGGAAATATACTGCAACATAAAACGATTAATAATACAAAATATAGTTATTGCTTTTACTTATTGTTATATTCCAGAGGCTTTTAGAAGGGATACACCAATACAATATTGGTATTGGTAATACTGATTTTTTATTTTTTATTTTTTTACAGAATCAGATGTAGACTTCCCGATATCGGTTCAGCCAATATTCTGGTTGGACATATACTTGTAAATTGTTGTTTTAAGACTTATTTACTGGTCGTAATCAGCCCAGAAAGTCTGAGAGATAAATAACAGAGACATAACAAAGTTTTGTCTTATTTATTTTTTGTTTTAAGGAAATAAATGCTATTTTTAGTCCTCATCCCGAGTTTTTAGTATCTAGTCAAGGATTGTCCAAAAATATTAATACCCACAGACTATTCATAATCAGTACTAAAACTTATTTGAGCAGGTATTTTTCTGATGTAGTGTAAAACCACATAGTAAAATTCATTGTGCAATATGTAACTTTTCTGACAATGTCAGAATTATTGTCAAATCTGTAGAGAGGTGAGCCTACGCTACACTTGGAACAGTATCCTATTTTTTAATTTATTTTTTATATATCACACATTTAATCACAACCGCTTGATTTATTTTTATTTTTTATTTTATTTATTTATTTATTTTTTCCCCAAAATTGTGCAGTGCAGGTATGGCAGTTTTAAATTTGACTAATCTAATTATCCTTTATCTTTGCATCAGATGAGAGTGTGAGAATTGTCTGTACTACAGTGCAGTTAGGATTGGAGGAGTGTGATTGTAGAGGGAAAACAGATGTACAGATTGAGTTTAGAGGGAATCTTTTCTGTGTATGTCTGGACCAGAACGGGAGCCTCTTATGCACCTCACAGCTTGATTCTGGCCTGTACTGTGGCCTCGTCTCGCCTTAGCAGCAGGGGGCTTTCCTGAGCGGACTGCCCAGGGGTGGGGCACCTGCGCCAGCCTCGCACACTGGTCAATCAGGGGGCTGGGCAGGAGGGGCGAGAGAGCATGGATGGAAAGACGTTTGGTGGTTCCAGGAATTGGACATGTGCGAGATTTATGAATTCCACAGGTACAACAGATGAGTCTGTGAAACCAAAATATTTGTGCTCTTGTTTCCCCTCACGACGAAGCCAGCCTTCACAATATATAGAGGAATAATTACAATTCAAGTTAAACCAAGACAAAGCTAAGTTTACAGACTGGCTCGTAAAGTAAGAATCTTAAGGTCGACCAAACCTTTGAAGTTTATGAAACACTCCATCATCCCTGAAAACTTGAATAATACTAGTGTTGTATTGAATTTTTAAATACACAGACATCCAAAACCTCCCAAATGAAAATGGAGCTAGCGTCCTACGTTTTAATATGCCCACTGCTGCTAAGTGTCGTTTTTGGATAGGTTTCATCTTTACATAAACTGCTACTCTCTCCGTCTTCTGTCACTTCGGAATGGTGCGTGGGTCCAAAAATCACCAAGGGATCACATTTTCAGACATTTAAAGTCAGCTCTTTGGTCACACAAATACTATAAAAATGTAAGGATGTAGAGAGCAAGTGTTGAGTGTCTAAAAGTTGGATGGATTTTGCATTAAGTCCACAGTCGAAGTGCCCCCCGCAGTGCGCCTGTGCAGGCTGCTGGATAATAACTGCTGTGGGAATGTTCTGAGGTATAGCCAGCCCAGGTAAATGAAAACACATGGTTCACTTAAAAGCTCTGTACAGCTCAGAAATAATGGCATTTCACTATTGAACCCTCCTCTCCCCTGACAAATGCTTTCAGTATGCACTTTGTCAAAATGTAGGTGTAAATGGAGCTATAAGACCCACTGTTTCACGACTTCTGCTCCTTAAATATTTTTCCCCAATGCAGGGTTAACCTATAAAAATCAGATGTTATTGCTCGTGATTCATGCTTTTATAGTGTATTTAATTTGAAATCTATCACATTTGTAATTACCACAGAGGCCGAAGGCAGACCTGTTATTGAAAATGACTCCTAACCATACAAAACTCCTGCTGTTTAATGGGTTTTAATGTGTTTGGATTGCCCTCATGTCTATTTGAGAAATAATGCAATAATGTGTTCAGCCTGAGGAGTTGTAATGAACACCGCTGAGTGATTTTACAGGAAATATCCAATGTTTAATGCACGTTTCATTTACTGCAATAAGTTTGTTTGTGTTTTATACTACATCAGGTACTAAATTATGGTTATAGTGTTATTACTGGTATTATGGTACTACTACTGATATCAGAAATTAGTACAGATTTGTTTTTTCTTTTTCATGCCAAGTTTTAATGCCTGAGACGGTCAGAAGTCAGGCAGTGTCAGCACAAATAAAAAACTGTTTATGTGTTTTGTCAGACAAAAAGTTGTTTATAAATGTATGAACTTATTCAGTTTTATTGTTCAAGATAATGATAAAGATTATAAGTAATAGAAAAACAATTATAAGTTAATTATTGTGTGTACTTACTATGTCAGTCTCTTACTTCTGCTGATCCATTTAAAAACACTTACCATAAAATTATACTTAAAATCTGCATCTGAAATTATATTGAGATGTGCACTACACTAGCTGACCTTATGAAATTGGCCACTGCTAACACATCCCCTGCTATTCTTTTTCCCTCAGTTTTGTCCCAAAATCCCTTATGTTTACACTTCGCTGTCAAACAACAATATTTGCTCATGTGCGTCACACAAGAGGCCGGGTACAGTGCTGCCTTTGAGACTCAAGACAGACCGCATCGTCCAGGAGCTGATCACACAAAAATACTATGATAGAGAATATGTACTTCACAAAGTGCTTCAGTGTTTTAGTTAATATAGCACTAATCATAATAATCTTAATGCTCACACCTGACAAAAACTCTGACCCAAACTGTAGGAGTTTGCTGGAGCTCCAACAATAATGACCAGTATACAGACTATAGAGCCCTATAACAGATTAAGAGAAGGCTTCATATAAATGCCCTTTATTTTGCATATTTCTGAACAAATTCAATCATTAAAAAAGCTTTTACACCTGTTTTCTGTAACATAAAGTATTTTATGGACATCATGCAAAAAATTTTCCCAACAAAAAAAAAAAAAACTTTCCTTTGAACCAAGTGCACCAGCTTTTACTGGCATTATATATTCACATGCTTTGCATAGTATAATTTATTAACCATTAATATCATACGTCTTGTTTTTTCATATTTGTATCTAAGTATATAAAATATGTATTGCATTTAGTTTAATTTAAGTTGTGCAACAGATGCCTATAATAATAACATAACATACATAATCCCATCCTAATAAGTAAAAAAAAAAAAAAAAAACAGCATTTGATGTGACACATTTTCAGTGATTGTCTTAGGCTTTTTAACTTTAAAACACATTGCTTTTTTTATTAATAGTAGACAAAGTGCTCTCATTTGCGTTGCTTTGAAAAGTTCAGACGCACACTGGTCTCAGGTGCATAGGGGATCTTGTGGTCAGTGTGTCTCTACTGCGGAGGGCTGCTCTTACGGCACAGCGTGTTGACGGTGTTCAGAGTCTGGGGGCTGCGTTTGCGTTTGCCCGTGAGCAGAGTGTAGAAAAACGGGTTCACACAGGAGTTCCCATAGGTCAGACTCGTCAGGATGCGGTTCACAGTGACCTGCGTCCCCACAGGGACAGTCCTTAACATGTCAGGCTGGTACAGAGGCAGCAGTTGCCACACCCAGAAGGGCAGGAAGCAAGCCCAGAAGGCCAGTACAATGCCCAGGATGAGGAGCAGGACTTTGGGTTTAGGAGCTCGAGGAGAGCTGGCACTGCTGTTCCCACTGGCCCACACTGGTTTGGTCTGAGACACCCAGTACAGCCGGCCGAGAGTGGCATACAGAGCGCCTATGGCCAGACCCGGGCCTAGGATACTAGTGCAGAAGAGGACGCTCAGATAGGCCTTGGAGCTTTGCTCGTCCCATGCGGGCACACACAGCTGTCCCTCCTGCTCGCCCCCGTCCTCCAGGTGCAGAGTGATCATCATGGGCAGACTGAGGGCCACCGCCAGCCCCCAGGCCAGAGCCACACGCAACAGTCCAGATGAGTTTGTGGAGGAGGTGTGCAGAGGGTGGGCCACAGCGCGGTACCGGTCAAGGCTCATAGCTGTGAGGGTGAAGATGGAGGCGTGCATCGTAAGCAGGTCCAAACTCAGGAGCAGACGGCAGCCCAGCTCCCCAAAGGCCCACCCAGACGCCAGGCTGTCGTACACGATGAAGGGGGCCGTGAACAGGTACAGCAGGTCTGCACAGGCCAGGCTCAGCACCTGCAGGTACAGAGAGGAGGTGGAGGAGGAGGAGGACACAGGGGAGGAGGTCGGGGACGTAGAGCTGGACAGGCACCGTGGCAGCGGAGCTCGCACAAAGCAGCATGTGACTCCTCCATGTCTCCTCCTGCTTCTCCTGCGCCTCAGCAGAAGCCCCAGAGTGTAGAGATTTCCCAAGATGCCGAGCAGAGACAGTAGGGACAGAAGTGAGCAGAACAGAGCTGTGGAGGCCGGGCTGGGAGACAGAGACTCAGATGGAGAGGACGATGGCACAGACATGTTTGGGGAGATGGTGACTGTGGACGGTGGTATTGGGCTGGAGAGGTCCATGGTATAGGAGGCTTCACAGTGAAGGGAAATGCAGGCTGCCTTCTGTAGTGGATAGTTTTAGCAGATAGAGATGGGGCGGAGGGAGCAGGTCACAGGAGAGAGTGGGATGGAAACACAAAATAAATTATTAGTGTTAACCACATCATGTCTGGCATAATTTTGGTTTCAGTTGAAGTTGCTTGTTTGACAGAGGTTTTAAGATAACAAGCATTTAAAACCTAGTTGGCTTTCAGTGTGCTGCAAATGGTGACAGCAGATAAAGTAAATAAAGTCTTATAAACATGTGGGAAAATGAAATGTCAGCAAAGCTCTGCTAGTTTATGTCTGGCCAGGAGCCTGCTCTGGTTGGCACAGTTATTCATGTTTTATATGTTTTCGGGGAGCTAGTAAGACTGTCTTAGTTTAAAAGGAACCATACATTTTCAAAGTCGGACTTCAATTAAAAGCTGCATGAACTTCCACCAGATTTTCCATTTGTTATTGTTTTTCTAGCCGTGATTTGAACCATGTTAAGGATTCTATATAATTTCTTTTGCATTGCATTGACTGTAAAGGATACATTTACTATTACTATGATATTGAGTTAATTTTCACATAAGTAGTCTTGCACCATGGGGTTGGGCTACGTGCCAGCCTCATTGTCATGCGATTTGCTGTTCACCCCAGGTTCAACTTAAAATTGTGGTGAAATACTTTGTAAAAATACATTTACTATGAGTTTGCTCTGAGCCTCGAGCTTTTTAATTTACAGACCTATAAAACAATCTTGTAGCAGTAAAATATGCAGTTTTAGAAGAGAGTTTAAATTTTGGAGGAATAAATAGGATGTCATGTGATCATTTTGTTAAATAGCACTGACCAAATAGGGCTTTGACATTAAAAGCCCTTATTTATTTATTACTTTCAAAAATAAAAGGCCAATTTACACAAGGAAGACCTTATTTTGTAATTTATTTGCCTTATCACCAGTCAGTTTATAATAGAGAATGACTGATGTTTTTGTTTTTTTCCGTGTCTGATACCGAGAAACCAATGGCTGATAATCTTTGTCGATATTTTTGGGCTGATATCTAGGGGCAATTTGGATTCTTTTCCCAAAATCTGTAATTTCAGTTTACTACAAACTCACCAATAGCCCTTTTTTTTAAGCATAAACCTGTGAAAGAGTGTGTAATCATGTTATGTGCAATTATCTCTTTGCACTAAAGTGTTCAAATAAAGCTTTGTGTGTGCTCTTTAGGCAGCAGATTCTTCAAAAGTAAATATTGGTCTAGGCTGGGGATTCAAGGCTAATAGCCAATAAGCTAAAAGGTGCAAATATCGGCCCCATACTACCTGCAGTCTATGGTGGGTGCTTTTTAGAGGAAACCTAATCCTGAGTGACATCAAAGTGTCTGTGGGGAGTCTAACGGTGACACATGGTGACCCAGGCCCAGGCTCCAGGTCAAGAGCTGCTGTCTGCCTGTGGACGGCAGCATACACCCCTGTGGTGCACTGCGCTACCATTGTATATTTGGCACAGCACAAATAACAACTACATCATATTCTCAGCAGGGGTCCTACATCTCGGAAAAGATTAAACAGGAACCTGATCATTGTAGACTTTCCGTTATCTAATACTTGAAGCCTATCTATATTTATTTTACCATATATTTGACTTAAGACAAAATAACAATTACATCAAATTCTAGGCTTCGTCACTTCGGAAAAGATTAAGAATGTTCAGGCCCATCTTATACATTTCTTTATGTTTACATTTGTGTATACACCACTGTGCCTTAAGCGCTACTGAAATGAGTACGTTAAGTCAATTGAACATAGTTATGGACTTTTTATCTCAAATATTTGGCATGGCACGAATACCAACCACATCATATGCTCAACAAAGATTCCAAGGGATCTCAGCAAAGATTACACAGGAATTTTAAACCTAATCATCGTAGAGTTTCCGTTATCTAATACTTAACCCAAGGCTCTATATCAAAAACGGTAGTTAAAGTCAATTATAGATAGATATTATATAAAGTGAAACATCATTGCTCAACTGGAGTTCATCTACCTTGGAATACAGATTACCGAGGAATGTTTAGGCCCATCTTTTCACCTTACATATTTCTTTAACTTTACATTTGTGTTTACACCACTGTACCTAAATCTTAAAACTAGTACTTAGTTTAGACAGTGTAGGCTATTTCAAATATTTGGCATAGCATAAATAACAAATACTCTGCATCATATTCTCATCTGGGGTCCGCGTCCAGGAAAGGTTGCAAAGGAATTTGCATTATCCATTACTTTACCCATATAACCCAAAATCAGAAAGTGTATTTAAAGTCAGTTATGGATGTATTATACCATATATTTGGCCTACAGCATATTCTTTACCCTGGAAAAGATTACTGAGGATTTTTAGGCCTATGTTTTAGTTTGTACATTTCATTATCTTTATATTTGTCAGTTGTAAATAGTTATGGACTATTATATTTGGCATAGTACAAATGACATTGTGTTCTGAAATGAGCTCCTGAATTACGGAAATGATTACTGCGGGATTTTTAAGATGATCTCTGTAGATTTTTTGGTTTGTACCCCATATCAAAAATTGTAGATTATTATGAATTATATATAAATAAACCATGCATGGTCTTATGTATATGGTTATTATATAGCAACAATCATATTGTCCAACTGAGGTTCTTTATTTCCCGAAAGATTACTGCTTTGGTTGTTGGAAGAGGGGCCATTTTTAGAGACAGCTTTATCAGTAGCCCAATACGAAAAAGTGTAGGCTACTTCTGCAAGTCACCTATAGTTAAGTACTAGTTAAGTACTAGTTAAATAGATTTTGATCTATGAGGAAAATTATAATAGCTCCATATAAATATAACAATTAAAGGAAGTATGCAAAATAAAGGCTTAAACTGGTTCCCTACATCTGACACCAGACCTTTTTTATAATAGCACACTGTATGCTGAGCTGTAAGAAAACTCACGTTTCTTACCTCAAACAAGCGTAATACCAGCAAATCCGTCCAGATCCCGAATGTCTTTTTCCATTTTGAAAAGTGGCAGCATTTACGTGTATAATTCTGAGGTGGTCTCCTCAGTAAGAATGACCGAAGAGTTGTGTTAAAGCATTTACGTTTGGAGTTCGTTCGTTAGTTTGTTGTGTCTTCTTGTCGGGTCGTGTCCAGTGCTGCTCCAGTGCAGTCCTGCTTCTGTCTTTCATGTGTCTGAGTCCACGGTGAGAGTGAGTGAAGGGGGTGGGATGCTAAGAGAGGGAGCAGCAACGTACTGAAGATTCAACCAATTTGCGTTGAGTTGAGATAATGACCAACAAGTTCCCGCTCATCCTGCCTTCTTATTATGGTAAATGCAGAAAACAGAACCTGTAAATCCACTTGAATGGAACAGACAACATTACTGTAAGATTCAGTTTTGCGATTTTTCCATGCTTTTAGGGGTGTAAACTGCAGGTATAATATGATATTTTGTTCTTTGCAGAGGATTTTCTATTAGTATTTGCAGACTTTGTGATTTGAGAATTGCTCATATTTGTGATTTTGATCCAATTGCATTATGTTGTGCAGCCCCCCACTGTAAGAACTGGTCTGAATGTGAAAAATGTCTGCAAACTCAGTTCAGATACATTTAAAAAAATCTTTCTTGCCATCAAAGTAGAGGTTATTCAGCCTTAGAGTACAGCCTGTAATGTGAGGGCGCTGGGTTTGTAATAGTAATTTATGATGTTTAAAGACCATTAGAGTAATCTCAAGCTAATTGAATACAATTTAAACTGTTGCAATTAACACATCTCAAAGACGACAATTATTTAGGATTAGGAGCACATATTAAAACTGTCTCTCATGGGGACTTTATGCATAAACATGCCAACAATGTATTGGTTCATTATTTCAAATTTATAATGGTTATAATTTTAATAATACAGTTATAACGTTTTTATCTTTTTCTTGTTTTTGATGGCTCTCATATGGTTTGAAATGAAAACACATGTTTTATGGGACTTTCATGCATGTCAAGTTTTTGGCCATAAATGATGTTGGAGAATCATATTTTGGCAAAAATTCACTCAGTTATACTGGCATTTTATTAAAAAAGAACAGATGTATAAAGAACCTAAGAAGAACGGAACAGAGTACGAATTGTAACTATAAACACATTGATGATTAGTGCTAACACAGCATCAGTGAATGTCTCTTCACTTCTTCACATTATTAATACTGACGTGTATGATCTACAGACTACTGTCTCTTGATGTTGTTTTGTACTGAAATGCTCTGACATGTTGAAGAGATCATACACAGACATGCTAAAGGGATCATATACAGACCTAGTACAGTGGACTCTGTCCAGCTCAGACAAAGAGACTGCAGACAGCTGGAGCTCCTCTGGTGTCATTGTGACGCACGACCATAACTTATTCTTCTCTGACCCAATGTCAATACACGCTCATGTTAAACACAGGCTGCCCCCCGCAGGGCATTTCCACAATGATTTGGTGTTTAAATCCTGAAGGAAATTAATAACCCAGCTGAGCCAGGGCTTATATCAACATTTTCATGTCAGAGAAACCTTTTAATAGTGGCTCTCATAAGAGTCGGACCCAGAATGAATGGCCTCACAGAAGTTATCAGAAACAGCTTACAGTTGCGTGTTATCCACAAGTTGTTTTTGGCTGCAGTGGTGGAGCCCACACTTGTGGTTTGCCAGTTTCAAGAGGCAGAACAACTTGGAAAAGATTTAGTTGTGTCGCTCCAATAAAATGTGTGTGCGCCGTATGTTGGTGGTGGGGAGTCTGGCTTGGCTGCTGTACATGTGCGGCAATGGCATACATAAGATAGACAGAGACAGCAGTAAAGGGCTGCCCGCCCGGGGGAGGGGACATACCTATCCCCATGGGGTGTGAGGAATTTGAACAAATACCTGGCACAGGCATGTCAAAAAAGGAGAGCGATTGGAGGGACTGGGTCTGTCTCCTG